CCCCCGCCCCAAAAAATAAATACAGCCTGTATGTATATAATATGAGTTGAGAGATTTATTTTTACGCCACTCCAGTGGAAAGAAAAAAAACCCTCTTAGCTTCCCAAAGTAGCATCCTATGGGATGGGACAAAGAGGCTGTTCAAAAGATCAGAAATACAGTGACCCTTTAAAAAACCTGACAAAGCATCATCCCTCCTCCTGCGTGTCCAGCTTTGGTTTCATATGAATTTTCTGTTCTTTTCGTTTCAATAAATGGTTTTGGACCTCAGTGCCAGACATCTTCCTTGCATGTCTCTCTCTGTCTCAGGCATGTCAGGATTTGGCTGGTTGCAGTGTTGGAGCCCAGGTCCTGGATGGCAGCCATGTGCGAGGGAGGCAGGCAGGGCTCACTGCCATGTGACGGAGGTGGTTGCAAGCTGTGCAGTCAAGGTGGTTAAAAGGCCACCTTCTGTGTTTGCCCCACCAGAGAAAGGCAGAGCTCCTCAGAGGCTCCTACAAAGGAGCTTTCTCAGTTTCTACCTGCTTTTCCTTGTTCCTGGGAGTACACCCAGGTCATGCAGTGGAGAGAGCCCAGCCTGGGGACTTTTATCCGCTGCCTTGGGTGATCAGCTGAGGTTTACAGGGGTGGAGAAGGGGTCAGCTGAGTTTCCACGTGAGTTTGTGGTACAGACTGACTTGAGCACTAAGCTCTGGCTCCTGCTAGCCCTGCCTGTAAGAAGCCGCCTGCTCAGGGAGATCTGAGCTGCTGATGAATGATGTTCAGCCCCCAGATAAGAAAAATTCCTCTGTGTATGATTGCCCTTGGTTGAGTACTGTTGTCCTATCTGATGCTGGGCACTACCACGTGCAGGATGCGTAGTCTGGAAGAGCTGAAGAGAGTGCAGTCACCCCACCCCAACTGTACTCACAGCCTTTGAGACCAGGCACACAACACTGGTCTTCCAGCTCCTGCTGTGGATCTGCCTGCAGGCCCCACAAGTACCTGGGGGGAACTTGCCAAAGTGCTGGAGAGGTTGGTGGGCTGGGTAGGGCTGGACCATGTGGTGGGCACACCTGCTGCCTGTCCAGTTCGTGAGCATCATCCATTTATCACAGGAGCATCTTTGGCCACATCCAGAGGGTGATGCCACCTGATCTTCAAAGTGGGTTGTGGTTTTTACCCTGGGGATGTGACATTTCAGAGGGCTCACAGGACAGCCTGAAGGTTGTTTGTGACTTCTGTCTGAAGAAAGCAGCTTCATGTGTCTGTTCTGCCCTTCGGGAATCAACAGGCACATGGAGAGAGGTGATAGAGTGGGATGGTCAAGGTCAAGGATAGCAGGTCAAGGGAGGGGAATTCTGCCCCTCTACTCCGCTCTGGTGAGACCCCACCGGTAGTACTGCATCCAGCTCTGGAGCCCTCAGTACAGAAGAGACGTGGACCATTGGAGTGGGTCCAGAGGAGGGCCACAAAAATAATCAGAGGGCTGGAACGCCTCTGCTATGAGGACAGACTGAGAGAGTTGGGGTTGTTCAACTAGAAGAAGGGAAGGCTCCAGGGAGACCTTATAAGAGCCTTTCAGTACTTAAAGGGGTCTACAGGAAAGATGGCGACAAACATTTTAACAGGGCTTATAGCAATGGGACAAGGGGTAATGGCTTTAAACTAGAAGAGGGAAGATTTATGCTAGATATAAGGAAGAATTTTTTTACAATAAGGGCGGTGAAACAGTGGAACAGGTTGCCCAGAGAGGTGGTCAATGCACCATCCCTGGAAACGTTCAAGGTCATGTTAGACAGGGCTGAGCAACCTGATCTAGTTGAAGATGTCCCTGCTTATTGCAGGGGTGGTTGGACTAGGTGACCTTTAAAT